GCGTGTCGTCGTGCGGCATGCCCAATGCCCGCGCATCGTCCATCGCTCTATGCGCGCCCGTCCCGCCTGCGCATGCACGTCGTACCCTTGCCATGCCTAGTCCCGCGCGGACTAGGTCTCGTGTTTCCGCTGGCCACTTGCGCGCCAATGCGCGCCTCGCGTCCTCGCCAGCTGCCTTGCGCGCGTATCGTTGCGCGCCCGTCCATCAGCAGCAACTCCCCTCGCGCGCCATCCACCCAACAACCTCCCCCTGCGCGCCACTCCGCCTATTCTCCAAGCGCCATGCGCGTCTACGCCAATGCGCGTGTACGCGCCCTTGCCTAATGCACCTCTCCGTGCGTGTGAGCGTTGCTAGCCTCGATACCATCTTCTTGCGTGTCCTTGCGCACCTCCATGCGTGACCCTCATACTGCTTTGTACGCTCGCGCATCACAACCATGCACTCCTCGATCCAAACCCATCCGTATACGTGCTCGTACCCGTCTTTTAGGCCATGCTTGCATCGTCTTGGCCCTATTTTCAGCCTCCTCGAGTCTTCTTGGATCTCGGCCCTTCTTGTCATAGGGGTCCGGAACCCACTTTTGTATCACCGCGCCCAGCGCAGCCCGCGCCCGAGCCCAGTTGATACGGAAGTGGTCATCAACCCAGGCGAGTCGGAGGATGAGGGTGGCGATGGTCTCGATATTTAGCTAGAAAATATGTTGGAGGAGCCATCTAGTCCTATTTACCGGCCATCATGTGTACGAGATTGGCCAAAAGGATGTGGTCCACGAGCTAAACTCAAGCCTAGGAGACGCAAGACCAAGAGAACTCGAAGGAAAGGCAAGGCGAAGGCTAATGAAGAGAAGTGTTGGTGCAAGCTTTGTTCGAGGAAAAGGCGAGTTCGCAAGATGGTGGCTCAAAGGGGAGGTAAGAGTAGAATGGAGGATGGGTGGATTTGGAGAGCTGGTGATTGGATTGGGTTGGATGGATGGGATCCATGGCCGTCGGGAGAGCTTAAGGAATCGGGCGAGCACTTGGAGTCGGTTGGCGACAAGGGTGCGAGCACGAGCAAAGAACGTGCATCGTACCTTGATGCACGTAATGGGTCGAGGGGTCGAATTAGTGCACGGGTGAGTGGCGTCGACGCGAGCAACGCACGATGGTGCGCATCGGAAGGATCGGCCACAGAGATTGGCAGCACGCGGACGGCAGCGGGCGTACGCGGGTGCGTGATAGGCGATCAGGCCATGGGGACGGCTGGGACGCGCAGTGCAGCGGGTGCACGGGGGCGCACGGTAGAGGATCGAGACGCTGGGGCGCTGGAGGCGACGCGCGAGGCACGGGACGACAGCGCGAGTGGCACTGGCATGAGAGATGTGCGCGGCACTCGCGGGAGTGGTGAGGACGCGCGGGATGGAGACAACAGCGATGATAGGCGCGCGACAGCGCGCGTGTACGGGGCAAGCGCGGGCGACCCAATCCTAACGGGCATAGGAGTGCTGGGCGCGGGAGTGCACGCGCAGGCGGGACGCGGCAACGAGGAAGCGCGTGCGACAGCGCGCGCATATGATGACCGCGCGCAAGGCGCCGAGTCCGCTGAGGACTAGGACTCGCGAACGCGCGCGCAAGTGAGGCGGCGTTCAAAGGGGCGGCCGAGAGTTTTGAGCATGTGGAAGATTAGGGAGCATTCTAGAATTGCTTGGTGTGCAAGCCAAGCATTAGTTATTGGTAGGTTTAGGATTTTATTGCTTTCTAGTGTTAGGATTTCTATTCTTGCAAGATTTAGGAGATCTAGTTTATTTAGGCTTAGATTTATTTTGCACCTATAAATACCCATGTACCTCATCATAATTTTATGTCTTGAATTGAGTATTGAATTGGTGAGCCAATTTTGAGGGGAACTAAATGTTGTAACGTGTGATAAACAAGGCCGTCAGTGCGTGTTTACATACAGTGTCGGAGGGAAGGCCATTAGAGCGTCTTGAAGTCACGGTATCTAGGAGAAGGCCGTAGTGCGTCTGTTAGATACACCTATCGTGGATAAACGAAGGCCCTGAGTGCGCCGTTTATTCACAACCCGAATAGAGTAAGGGCACGATCCGTCATCTGATCGTGTTCTTTATCTATCTATCTTTTTTCTTCTTTTTCGGTTTTGCCTTTTGCTGAGGGGGCCGAATTTTTGTTCTTTTTTGGTTCGAAATTTTTGAATTTTTATTCGAATTTTTCTATTTTTTTCGTGTCTTAAAAAAAAAAAGTGTCATCTTGTTAGTCCTTTGTTTGATTTTTGTTCGGTTATTACCTTTTGTTGAGTGGCCGAATTTCTTTTTTTGTTTCGATTTTTGAGTCTTGTTGGGGGTTCGATTTTTCGAATTTTTCCCCTATTTTGTTCGAATTTTTTAAGAGTCAAAAAAAAAAAAAATATGTCTTACCCACCATTGAATGAGTTAGATTGGGAAGATCTGGAGATGTTGGAAGGTTTGGAAAGGGAGCTCACCCCATGGGAAGCCACATATCTTGATGAGCTTCATGAGCGAGGGAATATTGAAGAGTACGAACGTGAACTCATGGAAGCCCGAGAAGCAATGGTGATCGATGCTCATGACCACGAAGATGAAGGTGCGCTGAATTTTCTGATCCTTGAGGACAAGGAATGTCTCGAAGAGAAGGGGAATGATACGGAAGTGGTCATCAACCCAGGCGAGTCGGAGGATGAGGGTGGCGATGGTCTCGATATTTGGCTAGAAAATATGTTGGAGGAGCCATCTAGTCCTATTTACCGGCTATCATGTGTACGAGATTGGCCAAAAGGATGTGGTCCACGAGCTAAACTCAAGCCTAGGAGACGCAAGACCAAGAGAACTCGAAGGAAAGGCAAGGCGAAGGCTAAAGAGGAGAAGTGTTGGTGCAAGACTTGTTCGAGACAAAGGCGAGTTCGCAAGATGGTGGCTCGAAGGGGAGGTAAGAGTATAATGGAGGATGGGTGGATTTGGAGAGCTGGTGATTGCATTGGGTTGGATGGATGGGATCCATGGCTGTCGGGAGAGCTTAAGGAATCGGGCGAGCACTTGGAGTCGGTTGGCGACAAGGGTGCGAGCACGAGCAAAGAACGCGCATCGTACCTTGATGCACGTAATGGGTCGAGGGGTCGAATTGGTGCACGG